TCTCTCTCTCTCTCTCTCTCTCTCTCTCTCTCTCTCTCTCAAAATAGATAAATGTAGTGATTTAAACTATGAAAGCCATCTTATGATGTGTATATACAATTATTTATCTTATAAGGAAAGGGCGTTAATAATGTTCATGTAACTTGTGCCCAATCCTTTTGCATTTTTTGGCAATAAAATATGTTTAAACTAAAAAATAATAATATTACACCAGTATCCGAACTCTTATTTTTGCCAGGAACTCATCTGTTGTTATCTCACTCGGAACTTCTCGGCCGATACGGTCATCTAACGTTGGAAGGAACTGGAATCGGGGCGAGGTGTTCCGAATGGTTGTTATCTAGTGCTCAAATAGATAAATCAAAGCAACAATGTGTTCCGATTATTTAAGCGTCATTTGACGCCATGGTATCGTGACGTCATAATTCCGTTGACGTCGTTTTGCTTAGCACATTAAAAGTGTTTCCTTACTGATAAAAAAAAACCAAGCCTGCACAGTACTCCGCCCGGCCACATTTAACTGATGATTAATTATCATATCTATACTTCAACTTCGTTTTTGATACTTTAGTAGGAAGTATGTTAATTATTGTAAGCCTTATATATGTATATTATAAAGGGTTACGGGTAGAAAAAAAACCTCCCGTCTCTGGAAAAAGCAACAGAAAAGGAATGAATCAACCAGTAAAGCCATGGACTACACTGAGTTTGAGCTTCGCCATTATAATTAGCAAATGTGAAGATTTTGATTTGAATTTTTCAATTATGATTGGATGGGACAGTTACGATTCGAGATTATATAGTATTACATGCTAGTTATTTAGACGTTTAAGCCGAAGCAGAGAAAAGTATGTTAGTCGCTGACATTTCGAGTAAATGATGTGACCTATACAGATTGATGGTAAGTCGGCATTGTTATTGATCAAGTCCATACCGTGCACAGCGTACACTTCGTTTACTAATAAACTTCGTCAAGGGTTCGGCACATCATCACCTGGCTATATCTATAGATAGATAGAAACCGAAAAGTATAATATTTAAGTTAGTTACCTTACACAATTTATGGATGTCGACAGGTGCCATGTAAATTGCCTGACTAATTATATAAATTATATATTATATATTATAATACGTAAGAATTAGAAGAGGAATTTAATTTTCTAACTCGACTGGTAATTTAAGGCGTCCTGTAGACGGTTCGAGGTTATTATCCAATTATTTCAAATATTTTACCCGGTAGACGGTACCGGTGATTAGTATCCACTAGACATACAAACATTTTGGCCACCGGTATCGCTCAGTCTCATTTTAACGCTTGACATTGTGCAATGCCAAGGAAATCTCGTCCCAGTAAAATTACGAAATCGGCAGGTTCAACAATTAAATTTTCGACGCAAAGCGGTAGGTATAGAATTTACACGTATCCATCCGCATAAATACAGGTCAATACTGATGGCCTGCTATCTTCTGAAAGTGGTATATTTCATTATAACTGGCGAACAAGTCTCCAACTTTTTCTAAATGTTTATTTTTGTATTTTTCTAAATTTGTGAAAAGTATAAGATATGTCGAATGATGTGCCAATTAAGTTTCTGCCCTTCATATTACACTATTCAATTTTGCCCGGGATTCATCAGTTTATAAGCAAAACAGTTTAAAATACTGTTCTTACCCCAAACATATTGAGATATCAGCATGAATGTCAGCTATTTCAAATTTTCCACGTTGAAGAACGAAAATGATAACGTTGGTTTGAAATGTAGACTCACTGAATTTAAGTCCATGGAAGAATGTAACTTGACAGAACGCGTTTTAGATGGATTTTTTTATAGTTATTTCTTTTAATTAGTTAATGAAAAAAATAATTACTTCTGCTGAAAAAGAAATAGATCTATATGCATATAGACAAATATAAGTACACATTCTCTCTCTTGCAACACACATAACATTTTTTGTTTCCGATCTACGGCACGCGTGTATAATTTAACCATAAAATCTAAATATTTCATACGTGTATCTATAATATTATCTAAAATAAACAAATCCTGCCTAACATCGATACTATAGATATGTTATGATATCGATCTACGGCCCGCGTGTATATTATCTAATTATTTTATACATATATATATTATCTAAAATAAACAAATCCTGCATAACATAGATACTATAGATATGTTACAATATAGATCTAAGGCTACAACACAAAAAGTATGTCCCAAACATCAAACGAAATGCAACAGATATTATTTTTTGAATGTCTTTAAGAATATTACATAAAAAGTAGATATTTTACTTTAAAATTTGTCAAATAAGTTAATTTTATGGAGGATTTTTTGGGGGCGAACTGATTGGGGCGACATGATTCAAATTTGGGGCATAACAGCTTGGGGCGAATCGTCTGACAACCGTTACATGTAGGTACATTGACAGAAAGAAGGAAGTCATAGTGAAAATGGTTAGGGATGACAAACTCATGTGTACTCGTTAAAAGCCGGTTTTTGGTTAATAAATTCATTTACTTTCAACCTAATAGTGTTTTTCAATTAAAACATGTACATGTTAATTAGTAGCCTGATCACAGGTTTCCTCTGCCCCTGGCACCAGACTTACACACTTAGACATTTTGACAGACATTTATATGTCAACATTTTCTAGGTCTGGTGTAAGACCAGGGGAAACTCGGGCTAACATGCAAGTTGATGTTATACCATGAATATTCAAAAGGTCGTTTTCTAATACCAGCCACTGGTGATCATGAGAACACATTGCTTAAGGAGATAGATCTAGACATATAATAATTTGTCATCAAGTTTATCTGAAATGCCTCTGGAAGGGAGCTGCTAATTCTACAAGACAGAAGTCTATATATAAGGAAGCCACCATTTTTTTTTACAACATATTAGCAGTGGTCTAGCTAGTGACTAGCTATAGTCTCGAATAACTGGACACATGTGTATCATTGATTTTTTTTTTAATATGACAGGGACATTTTTTGAAGGGAGATATCTGTATCTATCACCTAGATACCTAGAAATAGTGATGAGTTATTTTAGACTAGCAGGAAAGAGATAAATGAATGCTATATATACATGTACCACCACAGAGAGTTTCCAGGAATGTGCATGCTACTTGACTTAAGTCCTTACCAACTCCTTATATTACCAGCCAAATCAACTCAAGTGTTTGAAGTGGGAGATGAATCATGAGATGTCCAGATTTTCTGACACTGGAAACCTTCAAGTTAAGGCTGTCGCACCTTTGAGGAATCGCCCGGTTTTCACCTAATTTTTAAGCTATAATTTAAACAAAAATATTTGGGGTAGAGAAAAAGTTGATACTTCATGTTGGTAGTAGAGCCTGCTCTCTAACTTTATAAGTTTGCTCATATTTTTCATTTCTTGTTTGTAAAATTGTTTCTTTATTAAATGCATCATTTCCCCAATTTATTTCTGAGGTAGCAATACAGAAATTGGGTAAACATTGCATCAACCTATATATATCATTTTTTTTTAAGTGAATCAACCTGTATGATTTTATTACAGATTTTACGATACACCATTATGCCAATGCTGAAGGAAAAGCACCTCCAGGGAGGATAAAGAAAGCAGCAGCTAACGCAATGATTTCAGAAGGTATTTTACAATAACACATCAATTTATTTAAATTTAGTTTACATACATGTTCTGTACGTTATGTGCATCTGTTGTGTTGAGTAAATTAGCAAGAAAATATCCATACACAAATATAAGTAATTTATGTATATATTGTAGATTTAAGGACCATTATGATTGCCAACACAAATAATTCCATACAGTTATCAGTCATAACATGGTTCCATAAACAAATAATGTTCACTTTAGTATATGGAGCTTGTGAGCGAGATCGGGTTATCTCAGTCGAGGGTTAAGATTCTGTAACAAAATCCCAACCGAGGTTGGGATGTTACAGAATCTTCCATTTTGTCATGACATATTCTAAGTGTGTAGAGAAAATATATGTATTGAAACTGAAAGAGGAAACCTTGAACAAATGCCTGGAGTGGACTATGTTCTAATACATGCCTTTTTGGTTGGTAACAGCACACAGTATAAAGAACTCCAAGCAGGCACTGGAACTGGTGGGAGCTGTAGGTGAAGATGCATCAGAGACGAGTTGGTTTGACAAGGACTTGGATGAGATTGACATTAACACGGACAGTACAGACCAGCAATCAGAAGATGGAGTAGAAGAGCCTGTTCCAGGTAATTGTCTTCTTAGGAGGAATGTAATAATAGAATCCATCCTTGATGTGAGGTATGGATATAGGTCATTCAAACCCAAAGGATGAAATATTGAGCAGGAGACCCGAGGCTTTACCGAAGGTCTTCTGCTCAATATTTTATCCCTTGGGTTTTAATTACCCTTCTAGTAGAATTTTGTAAACTGTCCGCACATTTCTCATTTGCATATGAAGCCCAGATGGCAATTGTTAATGACGTCAATAACCCTGACCCACCCCAAAATGTTACAAAATGTTACAAAATGACGTCATGAACAAAAGCTTACCCTGAAAGGTCACTTTAAAAATTCCCCAGCCAGTCTGCGTGTGTAAGCGATCCAGACCAGTGGGTCTGATAGAATTTTCCAGCACTGCCGGAAATATGAATATCTTGGAATGATTCATCTATCACGAACATATCGCAGCCTCCCAATATACACACACATATACTACACGCATGCATCTTGCACCCAGGGGAGGCCGTCCTTAAATGACCTTAGCTGTTAATAGGATGTTAAACAAAATCAAACAAACAAAAAAAATTCATCTATCAATATAACACAATTACAGGCTTCCTTGAGGTCATTGTATGATTTTATAAACTTGGCAAAAGAGTATTACCCGAGGGCAAATTAAGTTTAAGGTTAATAAAGCTTCTTTACAGGTAAGTAGAAAAATAAAAATGCTGTTGGAGACTTGTATGAATTGTTGCCCAAAGGTGCCAATCCATTATCAACAGTTCCTGTATGTTTTCCTCAGTATCAGAGTACAGTATCTTAAAAATTTCGTCTGACATTCTGCTACCACTAGCCCTCCACCACTGGGTCGTGGGTTTTAGACCTACGCTGGGCAGTCACCATGTACTGGCCGTAGGTCGGTGGTTTTTCTCCGGGAACTCCAGCTTTCCTCCACCACTAAAACCTGGCACATCCCTACCTGACCATAGCTGTTAATAGGACGTAAAACACGAACAAACCAAACCAATCTTAAAAGTGTTTCCATTTGATTAATTAACAATTTCAAATGATCTTGCACCAGTTACACAAATAATAGTCAATGACCCTAATGTCTTCAGGAAGAATGATGTCAGGATTTTTTTTCATACTTTTTGAATATATTTCTCTCTGAAAGAATCCTTTAACTGTAAGAAAATATGAATCATTTTCTTAAATTTTCAGGGTCAATTTGTTGCCTTTCCAAACCTATTCTTTTGCATCAGTATAGTCCTCCTATATCTTCATTCACAAACCATTTTTAGCCCACTATCATCAGATGGTGGGCTATTCAAATCACCTGTCATCTGTGGTCCTTCTGTCCGTTGTCCGTCCTTGATAGATCTTTTTCAAATTTCGTATTTAGGTTTCTCTAGTTGTACATATTTCATTTTGGAACTGATTGGGGGGGGGGGGGGGGGGGGGGGGGGGATGGCCACCATCTTGGATTTTGACACTTCAAGCTTGTTTTCACTATTTCTCAATAAGTACTTGACAGGTCTTTCTCATATTTTACATCGAGTTTTCCTTGGTCTCTAGGTGTGCTTCTTATTTCTTTTTGCGACTGATCAGAAAAATAATATGGCCACCATACAGCCATCGTGGAGTTTGAGGGTTCAAGCTTGTTTTCCCAATAAGTACTCGACAGTTTTTTCTCAGGTTTTAAAAGAAAGTTCCCCTCAGTTCAAAGTTGTGCATGGTTCGCTGTGGGACTGATCCGAAGAACACGATGACCACCGGCAAGATTTCAATTTTGTTACCACTATTTCTCAAGAAGTTGATAATAAACATTGACCTCACTTTGAAAGGACATTGTTAAACCCAGCGTTATAGAAATTTCAATCAAAAGTTACCACAAGATATATTTCATGTTGACAAAGACTGTCAGTGAACAGATAAGAGATTAAACTGACAAAGAACTAATGAAGATCCTGTGACGTTGGGCATCAAGATCCATCTGGGATCTCTTGTTTTGTTTATCAAAATAGTTTACATATCTTTCTAATAAGTGCTGAAATCATTTGGAAAGCAGTATATTACTACAATTTATAAGAAAAAGCATTTTAATCTACACAACAGAAACCAAACTGAACCGAAGGAAGAGAAGACTGAAGGGAAGCGAGAGTGAGGATACTGGCATCTCGTACCCGATAGATTTGTGGTACGTCCTGAGTAGATATGTCCACCCAGAGGATCTGACTGTGTTCTTCAGGCTTAATCACAGCACCTTCTCTGTAAGCAGCACCATCCAGTTCTGGAGAGGCCTATACAAAAGGTATATAGATGTAATTGTAGAGCTTAATCCAGGAAAACATTTCTACTACCCTTTTTCCATTTAAGGGGAAAATATCCCTGCCGCAGGCCATCTTAGTGAGGGCTGAAGCCCCGAACCCAGGCAAGGGGGAGAGTACAAGAGGGGGTTGGGAAGGTCCCCTCTCATAATGGGGGGTAAGGGAATGAAAGCTTCGCATTGGGAAGAAATTTCACTTTCAATTACAAACATTCTAATAACTCAAAAAGAAAAGATGTATGCAGCGAGGTCTTCCAAACAGGACCGGAAGAAACAGTCGACTTTGATGATAATATTTTCAAAATTTCATTACAGACGTGGACTAAAGATAAAATATTTCTTGTTAAAAGGGGAAAATTGTGATTGAAAAAGGGGAAAATGTAAACATGATTTCTGAGGGAAATTTACCTAATACCAGTAGTAAAAAAGACCTGGATAAAGCCACAAATTGCATTCATTTTCTTCAACCTCTGCAAAGAAGATTTCAAAAGTTGCCTGTTTTGTCTATCTCTGTTTAAGATAATTCATAAGCTGCTGGCACTGGGATCATGATACATTGTAAGGCTCGGATGTCAATAAAATACACCTCTTAGAAATCAGTTCAAATTCAGGGAAGTGATATGTACTTCTTTTTACAATATGCACATGTTGTACATTTGTTCTGAAGTCAGTCTGAATTAAGAGAAATAATATGTACTTCTATTTACATTATGTACATGTTGTACGTTTGTTCTGAAGTCAGTCTGAATTAAGAGAAATAATATTTACTTCCATTTACAATATGTACATGTTGTACGTTTGTTCTGAAGTCAGTCTGAATTAAGAGAAATAACATGTACTTCTATTTACAATATGTACATGTTGTACGTTTGTTCTGAAGTCAGTCTGAATTAAGAGAAATAATATGTGCTCTATTTACAATATGTACATGTTGTACGTTTGTTCTGAAGTCAGTCTGAATTAAGAGAAATAACATGTACTTCTATTTACAATATGTACATGTTGTACGTTTGTTCTGAAGTCAGTCTGAATTAAGAGAAATAATATGTACTCTATTTACAATATGTACATGTTGTACGTTTGTTCTGAAGTCAGTCTGAATTAAGAGAAATAACATGTACTTCTATTTACAATATGTACATGTTGTACGTTTGTTCTGAAGTCAGTCTGAATTAAGAGAAATAACATGTACTTCTATTTACAATATGTACATGTTGTACGTTTGTTCTGAAGTCAGTCTGAATTAAGAGAAATAACATGTACTTCTATTTACAATATGTACATGTTGTACGTTTGTTCTGAAGTCAGTCTGAATTAAGAGAAATAATATTTACTTCCATTTACAATACGTACATGTTGTACGTTTGTTCTGAAGTCAGTCTGAATTAAGAGAAATAACATGTACTTCTATTTACAATATGTACATGTTGTACGTTTGTTCTGAAGTCAGTCTGAATTAAGAGAAATAACATGTACTTCTATTTACAATATGTACATGTTGTACGTTTGTTCTGAAGTCAGTCTGAATTAAGAGAAATAACATGTACTTCTATTTACAATATGTACATGTTGTACGTTTGTTCTGAAGTCAGTCTGAATTAAGAGAAATAACATGTACTTCTATTTACAATATGTACATGTTGTACGTTTGTTCTGAAGTCAGTCTGAATTAAGAGAAATAATATTTACTTCCATTTACAATACGTACATGATGTACGTTTGTTCTGAAGTCAGTCTGAATTAAGAGAAATAATATGTACTCTATTTACAATATGTACATGTTGTATGTTTGTGAAATTCCTATTTAGCGATAGCAAGGTAAAAAACATTCAGTTTGGAGGTATACACCTAATCTTACTGACCGTAAGAATTAATGATTATTCTTTATATTTTGTTCACAGATATGCTAAGGACCTTTCCAAGCTTCCAGACTACCTGCAGCCAATCTGTCTCGAGCGGATCCATGGCCTTCGCCAGCGCGTGATCAGGGCTCTGTTTTTTGTGTATCCGGTGCTTATCAGTAGGACAATAACTGTGGCACCATTTCAGGACCAGCAGCTATGTTACAACCTAACTGGACATCTCTGTCTTGTGTCGTGGCATGAACGAAACAAGAACATGTGGAACTTCAATTTTAAATTCAGAAAGGAACGTATGGGTGAAATCAATAGTTTACTACGACTCAAAGGGGAGCCACAGAGTCTTCGCTCTGGTTACAGTGATCTACATCACAACTTAGAGAATGATTCGTATGTGCTGTGTGCGACTTGTAAGAACTTCACGGCGATTCCACCAGTCATGGGCTTAGTACTGACTAATCTGATGCTGCGACTATCAGCCAGCATGAGATATCTTACTTTACGCCTATTGTTTGACACAACTCTGAAGCAAGGAATGGGGGCCAATGTTAGGGAGAGTCAAAGTCTGGAAAAGGTGGTCATTCTTGACCCCGTTGTGGACATTCGAGTGTTTCCGTGGTGGCATCCAAATTACCCTCACCAGGGAATGTGACACACATGCCACATAGAAACTTGTGTACTTGACATGTTTACAAACAGGTTGTTTTCATGCAGAACTGATAATAGTGATTTGATCCACAAAAATCTAGTAGTTTTGCAAGTTCTGGCTCTAGAATCAATAAGTTGCATTAAGATTCAACAAGCCCACTAAATGATGCTATAGTCACACTGAATTTCAACCCCCTGTTAAGTCATATTCAAATTTAATTAAAAATTGGAATATTCATATGTAATTAAGATATGTTCAGCTGGTACATTAACTTTAAAATGATACATAACCAGGTTGATATAGTCAATAATTAGGCATGAATGCTGATTTTTTCATAAAATTAGCTCACTGGACTTTTAACATGTCAATCTCTTTTGCGACAGAACCGAGTACTGCGAAATGACATATTATTTAAAGTTCATTTATATACCTAGGTCATGCAGAGGTGAATTTCTCTTAAATTATCGATGGAGAGGCATACCAGCTTTTTTATAATATGTATTATGCGATTTTAGGCACTGAGGACAAACAATTAGTTCAAAGAGTGTCGCATTAAGAAATTCTTCATACCTCATTCAAGGAACACCCGGGCCCCTTGTTTGAAATATGTATGCCTAGTAATCATAGATATAAAGGGAGAGTTCTTATAACAGTGAAACCTATGACATTTTGAAGAACTTTGATTACAATGTACACGTTGACTTGAAAAAGCTTGTTTGGTAATTAAGCATCCATCAGTGAGATTTTATAGCAACATCCACATTACTGTGTGACTATAATTGTAGTCAGCCACACTTTCAATGTACATGTAAGATCATTTGGTTGAAATCTGAATAATCCTTATTGTTTTTCTTACAAAACGAAACAAGTATATATTTTTTCAGGACTAAATATGTTCAATTTTAGTAGGTTTTATTCAATGTTTTTTGTTATATTTTTTAACTTATAAATATTTTTTTAAGCATGTCAGATTTTCAATGATTTGCCTACATAAAACATATTTTAAACTGGTGAATATTTCTTTTATAAAAAATAAACTTACGTCTTTTCATTTCCTGTTTAATATATCTAACTTAATTTATTGTTGGGAATGGCTCACTGTTAATTATTCTTTTAACTGATAATTGTCAATGTTTTGATCTCTAATAGAAGCAAGTCACATTTACATTTGTGCTGTTACGTTACCATGTTGTGTACGTGTATAAAGTTGGTTTTCAGAATCAACTTCACATTTGTCTCCATAAGAGGTTGTCTCCCTTACCAAGATCATTCACTATCACACTTCTTGAATAAGATAGTGTCATCAAGTTTAAGGGAATACAATGGTGATTTACTTTTAACTCAAGAGCTCACATTAGATTATCCTGCTTTCATCCTTTGTGCTACAAAGTACCCAAAATAAAATTTAAAAAAAAAGAAGGTAATGATGTTCTTGTAACTGGTGCAATTTGCTAGAGATATGCATTTTATAACAGACCAGACCTGGACTAAAATTCTTTGAATTCATGATCGGATACTGGTCGTCAACATCAACCCAGTTTAGAAAAATACTATGTTCAAGTATAAAGACACTTGAAATCAATTGTCAGAATCAGATTTGGTCTTATATGTTTGTATGTGAAATAAAAAAAAAAGTAAAAAAGCAGTAGGAGAGATATTTTCAGAAGATCAACATTATTCTTCAAAAATAGTGTTGCATTGTGTCAATTCTATGTTTAACTGATGTCACTTTCAGGAAGTTCTCCAGAGCTGTCTTCAGAAATTTCATCTTTAATGTGAAATTTGGAATAATTGACCTTTTGGAATCTAAATCAACATCCTCATTTCCTTAACGAAAGTTTCATGTAAATTTAACCCTTTAATGAACCTATTCAGTTCTGCTCTAGTATATAATGCAAATCTGAAGTGTTTAGTAATTAACCCTTTCACCACTGTAGACCATAATGGACTCTTCCAGATCAATGCATGGTTAATTCTACTAAAGTTACATAGGTGTGAAAGGGTTAAAAACAATACTGGTGCTGATAAGGATTTGTAAGTGTCACAGCTCTGTATCGAAACCAAAGGTCGAGAGGTTTACTTGCAAGCGTGACGTAATTTGTCTTGAAAAGCTGGTTTATCAGCAGACATGTTTGTTTGTATTGTTGTATAATATTCGTTTTTGTCAGTGTTACATTGTTTGTTTTGTGGTAAGAGTGAGTATCATGTGATAGGTTTGATTTAAACATATTTTATTCGTTCAATCTAACAAATGGGATTTGCCACAAGTTATCAGAACTTAGAAACGCCTTCTCCCATGTGATAGGTATATTAATTACTATTGAAGCGAATAAAAACACGTCAATACACCTCAAAATTGTGTTGGTTATGTTTCTTCTCTGGTTATATTAAGTATCAAGTTATAGGTCATGTATTATGTCGTATAAAATACGTTACTGTTCCTGTTCAAATATTTCATCAGGTATAAACGTCTATAATTAAAATAATCATTAAGCAAATTAGCACACTCCCTCGATCCACAAACCCACCTTTTCGAGTGCTGTTGAAAAATATTTTCATATATGTAGGAATGGGAACAGAAATACAAAGGGATACTAGTATATAGATAGGATATTAAATGAGTCTTACGAGTTTCATTAAAGCTCATGAAATAAAAACAAATTTAAGATACTTTTTAACACATAACTCAGAAAACTTACATTTTGACAGGTTTTAAAGCCAAATTGTAGAGGGCTTAATTAATCAAACGGTAGACAGCCATTTTGATGTGACATTCACAATTTATGACGTCACATCATTGTCCATATTATGACGTCACAATCGATTTCTGACTGGCACAGCCAATGAAAAACGCTCCAGGGTATTTTTACACTAGTGACATATATGTAAAAATATATCAAGGGCGAATTCACTGGATAACAGGCCGATTATGTGATAAATGTTATTCAGTAATGCTTTACTGACTTCAACATATTTTATATCTTTTTACCTGGATATTCTTGTCTTTATATATATATAGCGTATTCGGTTGTTTTCTTGATATTATTTTTTGGTCATTCCAGGTGAATTATCAACTTTTCTGATAGATATGGCGGGCTGCACTTCGCTATTCAGCTGCCTAGTGTATTGCTGATTGTAATTCTTATTCTGACTTATATATCAGAGCCATCCTCTGATGGGGGAAGAATGTTTTGAATATCTACCAGCAGAGATGTGCCAATTGTATCCTTGCATTCTGAGGTTTTGGTAGTACGCTCTACACAGATCTGTGTTCTTCAGAGAGTTGCAACAAACACATACCTGTATATAGTTTTCTGAATTCTGTTAAATCATCATGGTCGTTTATTGGAGTTTATTTCCCGTTCCATTATTTCCCATGTGGCTGTATCTTCCAACGTCACTTGTATTTAGAGTTGATATTTCAATGATGGTTGATATAAATGTATTTGGTGCAGTATCGAGCGATGACTTACTAGCTTTCTAAGATTACCGAAATTTCTTCACGACTCTGGAACAAAATGTTTCAGAATGATACCAGCTTTTCCATTTCTTATTTTGCGGGGTTCCTTTGGGAGCTAGGTACTGCTTGTCCCGGTTTCCTCGTCAATAGTTGGTCCAGAGTTGTGGAACGTATGCAGATGGTTTGGGAGGTCGTAGCTGTTTTTATTTTTGATTATTTTGGAGCTTTGATGGATTATTTTAGGTTTCGTCTGTCACCTTTTTTTTTTAGGTCACCTGAGCTTTGCTCAAGTGACCTATTCTAATCGCTTTCTGTCCGTCGTCGTGGGTCGTCCGTCGTGGGTCGTCTGTCGTGCGTAAACTTTTTACATTTTCAACTTCTTCTATAGTTGAAGCAGTTGATGGATTTTTTTCAAACTTAGTCAGAATCATCCTTGGTAGATGAGGCTACAATTTGTAAAATTGGGATCCTACCCCAACCCATGGGGCCAGGGTGGGGCCCAAAAGGGAAAATTAACCAATATTTCAACAATCTTCTTCTCCAGACTCAGAGGTACTTCATTCAATTTCAGTGCATAAAAAGAAAGATCATCCGGGGCTTTATTTAAATTGTAAATTTCAGGACCCCCGAGCTATCCGTTCTCCCTTGGGGAGGGGGTACAGTTTACTATAGTTTCTAAAGGGAAATAACACTTTTGCGTATATTTTATCAATTTTCAGCAGAAAATTACCCAAACTTAGTCAGAATCATCTTTGGTGAATGAGGGTATTACATTGTAAAGTTAGGGTTCCTGCCCGATCCCCAGGGGCTAAAGCGGGGCCCCAAAGGGAACATTTACCAATATTTTCAAATTCTTATCCTTTGATGACATGACAAGTATTGTATTTCACTTAGTTTACACGCTGATTTCCACATCA